TCTGTCTCAGCCAGTTAGAGATAATGAGTGGACCAGAAACAGTTCCTTCTAGATGGGTGTAGAGTAACATATATTATCTAATTAGGGTCACACATCACCAGGGCCACATACCACCAGGGCCACACATCACCAGGGCCACACGTCACCAGGGCCACACATCACCAGGGCCACACATCACCAGGCCACACATCACCAGCGTCACACACCACCAGGCCACACATCACCAGGGCCCCACATCACCAGGCCACACATCACCAGCGTCACACATCACCAGGGTCACATACCACCAGGGCCACACATCACCAGGGGCCACACACATCAACAGGCCACATACATCACCAGGGTCACATCACCAGGGTCACACATCACCAGGTCACACACCAGGCCCACACACCACCAGGGCCAGCACCAGCGTCACGCACCACAGGTCACACATCACCAGGGCCACATCACCAGGGCCCCACACCACCAGGCCACATCACCAGCGTCACACATCACCAGTGTCACATACCACCAGGGCCACATCACCAGGGTCACACATCACCAGGGTCACACATCACCAGGGCCACATACCACCAGGCCACACATCACCAGCGTCACGCATCACCAGGCTACACATCACCAGGACACACATCACCAGGGCCCCACATCACCAGGGGCCACACATCACCAGGGTCACGCATCACCAGGCCACATCACCAGGGACACACATCACTAGGGCCCCACACTGTGGGCCACACATCACCAGGCCACACATCACTAGGGCCCCACATCCCTAGGCCACATCACCAGCGTCACGCATCACCAGGGCCACACATCACCAGGGCCACACGTTACCAGGGCCACACATCACCAGGGCCACACGTTACCAGGGCCACACATCACCAGGGCCACACATTACCAGGGCCACACATCACCTGGGCCACATATAAACATGCATGAGAAGGGTGGTTGTCAGTGATGATCCAGAACAGTCACTTTCACCTGCTAATTGGATAAATACGTGAAGCTGTGTAAAGTGTGTAGAAACATATTACGTAATAATAATAATAATAATAATAATAATAATAATAATAATAATAATAACGGTTTATTAGAGTTGCAGCCGTTGGTTGAAAATATACAAACTTACATGTGATTTAGACATAATAATATACGTTCAATACATTTCCAGGGCTGTACAGTACATAAATCAGGAGCTGTTTTATTATTTTAAAAATAGATGGGATGGTGCTGTTCTTATATCTATTAGTGTGTGTGTGTGTGTGTGTGTGTGTGTGTGTACATGCGGTGTGTGTGTGTGTGTGTGTGTGTGTGTGTGTGTGTGTGTGTGTGTGTGTGTGTGTGCGTGTGTGTGTGTCAAGACGGGTCAGACGCACCTGGCACTGCTCAGCAGCAGCCACGTCAACTATTCTGTTGGCCCATACCAACTCCCTCCCCTGAACCCTCCTCCCCACCGGAATATCAACAAGTTCTCGCCAGAAATTACTATTTCATTTGGGAAAGGAATGGAACCAGTGTTGAATAGTGGTGAAAAGTGCTTAAGTCAGTGAAAAACAACTCGGCAGTTGAGTCTTGCCCAAGCCAACCTTCACACAGTGAGGTCCCAGGTGCCCAGTGATAATTCCCCTGAGACTCCACGATAGAGAGGCCTGGGACCACACCTCAGGCCACGTGGTGTCCCCATGATGCTACGACACCACGTAGTGAATGAGTTGCTACAGCATCATGTGAAGTTCCTCATAACACCATCTGTGAGGGAATTACTACACCACATCAGGGCCCTCACACACCATCTGTGAGGGAATTACTACACCACATCAGGCCCCTCATAACACCATCTGTGAGGGAATTACTACACCACATCAGGCCCCTCATAACACCATCTGTGAGGGAATTACTACACCACATCAGGCCCCTCATAACGCCATCTGTGAGGGAGTTACTACACTATGTGTCTGCTGTTCAACACCTCAGCTTACATGATCTACGTGTGTAAACATTAATCTGTATGTTCACTGTATGTTCCTTCACCTTTCTCTAATGAAGGCTTTTGTTAAACCACCAATGTATGTAATAAGTCATTTGTGTCCAATGTATATTTTCAGCCTTCGGGCTGCAAACTTTTTCAATAAACCGTTTATTATTATTATTATTATTATTATTATTATTATTATTATTATTATTATTATTATTATTATTATTATTACAATCAGTTACAAGCACACAAACACACACGTGCTACTTACTACTACTTTGCTGTCACTCAGAATCGAGTATGACGATCATCCAGCTATGATACAATAATATGAGTTATGAGGGATGTCACCTTCAATGATGAGGTGACTAAAGAGGCCGATTCGAGACCCGCAGCGTCGTTCACATGAGTTGCATATATGGAGGGCTACATCGAGTGCAGGAGGGGCGGTGGTAGCGTCTCTCCGGCGTTGGTGCTTGTCTGCCTCGGTTTGCAGTCGGGCTAACTCGAAAGTATTGACACCTTCTCGTGTGGTGCTCCTCCAAGCGTTACGATTTGGCCCCTTTTTCAGATTTGTCTTAAGACTATCCTTTTACATTTTCAGTTGCCCGCCGGCATTACGTTTACTATTCGTTAGGTGACTGTAAAGTAGCTGCTTTGGCAATCTACTGTCGTCCATGCGGGTAACATGGCTAGTCCAGCCTCGATGCTCCTACAGTCGGTGTCAGCAAGAATACTGGCATTTGTTCTCTTGTTTTCCCAGCGAACTTGGAGGATGGAACGTAGACTACGTTGGTGAAAAATTTCAAGTGCCTTGAGGTGCCTCCTGTATGTGACCCATGTCTCGCTGCCATGTAGCAGGGTGGGGAGGACCACTGCTCGATATACTTGTAACTTTGTAGATAATTTCAGCTTCCTACAGCTGAAGACACGGTTTCGGAGTCTTCCAAAGGCTTGAGATGCAGATCTGATCCGATGCTGAAAATCTTCATCGATGTCTGCGGTGGTGGAGAGGTGGGAGTCGAGATACTGAAAGTGGGTAACATTGCAGAGGGTAGTACTGTTAAGCTGGATGGATGGTGGAGGTGTATCTGAACCAGGAGCAGATTGAAAGAGCATCCGAGTCTTGCGTACATTCACCTCAAGGCCGAAGTGTGCTTATGTATCTGCGTAGGTGTTCAGGATCTCCTGTAGGTCGTGTTTAGTGTGAGCAACACGGGTGAGGTCGTCTGCATACTGAAGTTCAGTAATGGAAGCTGCCTACACCTTTGTTCTTGCCTGGAGTCGTCTTATGTTGAAAAGACCCTTCATCCGGTACGCGATGTCCACCCCGCCGGCTAAATTGGCATTGGCACGAGTGAGGAAGGCAGCCAAGAAAATGGAAAAGAGTTGGTGCCAGTACATACCCTTATTTAACCCCCGTTTGGATGGGGAAGAACTCAGACTGAGTGCCACTGTGCAGGACACTGCTGTTCATGCCACCGTGGAGTTGCCTCACAATGACAATGAATTTTGGTGGGCAGCCAAAACGGCTGAGGGTCCGCCAGAGGGCTGCCCTGTTGACCGAGTCTAAGGCTTTGGTTAGGTCGATGAAAGCCATGTACGGGTCACGAAGCTGTTCTCTGCACTTTTCCTGTATCTGGCGGGCAGAAAAGATCATGTCAGTGGTGCCACATTGAGATTCTGGGAGGAATTTTTCCACTTCAGGGAGAAGTCTGTTTAGGAGGACTTGGCATATAATTTTGCCAGCTACGGACAGCAGAGATTCCGCGGTAGTTGCCATAGTCTGGCCGGGTCGCTTGTTTTTATAAATATTAATGATGGAGGCGTCTTTAAGAGCTTGGGTGATTTCCTCCTTTTCCCATACTGTATATTCTCCAGGAGACAGTGATGATGGCTGGTAAGCAGAGGTCCTCCTGCTTTATACACCTCGGTTGGGATTCCATCAGGCCTTGAGGCTTTGTTATTTTTCATCTGTTTGATGGCAGTAGCTACCTCATCCAGGGATGGAGGATAGCTGAGGTGGGTCAACTCTGGATGCTGAGGGACCTGCTGGGTAGTCAGGACATCCACACCGGTGTTTCTGTTGGGCAGTGAATGGTAGTGCTCTTTCCAGCGCTGAAGGAGGCCTTCATCGTCTTTAATTAGGGAGTTACCGTCGGATGAGCGGAGGAGGTCTGCGCCACGAGTGGTTGACCCATATAATGTACACAAAGGATCACACGAGACTAGAAATAGTCCCGTGTGCTGGTGTTGTGTCACAGGATGCTGGTGGCCGCCCTACGAGAGCCAATTAAGAAAATTGTCAGTGAAAAACATAGGACAATTTTATCAAAGATTAAATCAGACGCCTTTTTTATGGGGCGAATTTTTAATTTGGGGGTGAAATTAGAGATAAAACAGACCACTGAATTTTTCTCTTGTCTAGGATGATGTGAGTGCGTGCGTGCATGAGTGGGTGCACTGATGAACACAAAGACTAAACTAGTGTTTACTGCTTAATTAGAAAAAGAAAGACAGACAGAAAGACAGGCAGAATAAGAGATAGAGAGAGATATAGTGAGAAAGAAAAAAATGAGATAGAGGTGAATTGAGAAAATTTGAGATAGATAAAAAGACAGAGAGTGAAAGAGTGAGAGAGGAATCCGCCAGCGCCTTGGGTTACTTTACTCGAAGCAGCGGGTGTGACTGACAGGTAAATTGGTGGAATATTTCAGGTGGGCTCTGAGAAAATCCTCGCGGGAGAGAGGTGGTAAAGTGTCGGGAGGAAGGTCGCCTTAGACAACACTTATTGACTTACTGTTACTCACTGTCTGTCTCAAATGGTAGCGGTGTAACTTTTAAGTGGTAGTGTTGCAAACTTAAGTGGTGACGTTACTTCCTTAAGTGGTGGTGTTACATGTTCAAGTGGCAGTGTCACAAGCGGCCTCAGGTGAGATAGTGTAGAGACGTATTGTGGAGAAGCAAGATGGCGACGGCTACACTATAGAATATATGTTGCCATTCACTTAACTCTCAACAGGTCTGGTGAGTTTTGAAAGCTTGAGGACGGACGGGTTGGAGAGAAGAGGACTTTGTTGGGAAGTGGAACTGAAGTGTAGAAGAATGCTGAGGAAGGGAAGCTGGGTAAGGAGGCTGGATATAGGTAAGGCAGTGGGCGGTAGGGGAGATGGACGGCAGGAGGGCCGGCGAGCCTCAGGGGGGAGGTAAACTGACCAGTATGTCACACTGTCGCTGGACACCGTCGTCGTCGGGGAAGTAATGGCGGTCATCAGGTTTATGGGGGGGGAATATGTCTTGCTAGCAGGTCATAGTGGAGGTGTTGGTCACTTTTACCTGTGACGCTCAAGTTTATGGCGCTGGTCTTACGAGGTGACGACTGAGGCAGGACACCTGGCCACTACACAGGTGACTGAGGCAGATGTGGTGTACACCTGGTCACTACATAGATGACGACAGGTGTAGTGTAATGGATAACTGCCCACTGCACATATGACTGAGGCAGGTGTGATAGATGCCTATCCACTACACATATAACTGAGGCAGGTGACCAGGTGTACTCCAGGTGACTGAGGCAGGTGTGATGGATTTACGTATTACTATGGACATATTACTGTGTCCAGTACACGACCCAACCTCGTTCTGTGGCGTCATATTACTAACCGGAAATGGGCATGATTTTCCCACCTCTATATTGTTCACCAAACGTTACTGGACACCTTACTTCTCTGTTCGCTCCCTCGACACTTAAGAATTTACTACCTGTGTGTGTGTGTGTACAACTTGACCTCACCACATGCGTCTCTTGTCACTCTCCCAGATTTACGACACTTAACACAGTACATTTGTTTGTCCTGCAACACCCAGTGTGTTCTGCAGCACCCAGTGTACCCTGCAGTACCCAGTGTCTCCTGCAGCACCCAGTGTGTCCTGCAGCACTCAGTGTGCCCTGCAGCATCCAGTGTGCCCTGCAGCACCCAGTGTGTCCTGCAGCACCCAGTGTGTCCTGCAGCACCAAGTGTGTCCTGCAGCGTCCAGTGTGCCCTGCAGCACCCAGTGTGTCCTGCAGCACCTATTGTGTCCTGCAGCACCCAGTGTGTCCTGCAGCACCAAGTGTGTCCTGCAGCATCCAGTGTGTCTTCTACTACTACCACACAGTAATAATATCTGCTGCTTATTCCTACACCAATACTACCACTTTACCACCACGAATAACAACAGTTCAAAGAGGAGATATTAACAACAAGAAAGCTTTTAATATTAATGTGAAAAAGTGGTTTCTAGGTTGAAGGGAGTGAGGGAGAGAACAATGTTATTTTGTCTCCTGGGAATATACATGGTGAAGGGAGAGGGTGAGGACGGCCAGGTACTGTGGTTTCCTCGGTATGTTAGGATGAAATAAACGGTGGTAATAACAATGAAGACAATGTTTTTATATCAGTTTGTGTATGATGACTTCAAGAATGGTCGTACCGAGTGTTGAAACTGTGATGCATATTGTCAGAGTTATAGTGCGTGGGTGGAGAGTTTTAATGATATGGACAGCAAAGCAGGACATGTTATAGTTTCTGGATTATTTTGTGTTTTGTCGTTAGCTCAGTGTACAAGCTGAGGTAGGTGTCGAAGCTTCATGTAAATTGTTGACTAGTGACTGGTTATTAACTTGGTATCGAACCCACATACATAAACCACGACAAAGACGCCGTAGCTACACACACACACACACACACACACATACATACACACACACACACACACACACACACACACACACACACACACACACACACACACACACACACACACACACACACACACACACACACATACATACACACACCACCAAACAAACATTCTCAGTCAACCATAACCCAACACCAACACGCTGACAATTTTCACGCGTGACTTTTACTGAAGCCATGTTTACACACATACTATTTCCGTCCATCCACCCCGAAAGTGGGACGCACTCAAACTGTGTGTGTGTGTGTGTGTGTGTGTGTGTGTGTGTGTGTGTCTTATAACAAGTGTAAATTAAAAGTTACAAGTAAAGTAAAAATTATTAGTTGCAGGATAAAGTAAGGAAGATGTGGTAGCGTGGTCGATTAGTTATTTAACTATTAATATATTCTTAGGGGGAATTTTCTAAACACCAATTCTAAGTTCAACTATTTATTAGTTAACTGAATAGCATGGACAAATTAATAACTAATTATATTTAAGTTACTAGACAATGACTCTCGGACACAAACATGAAATGGATACACTTCCTCCCGTAAGTTACTCACCCTTGAATCGCTCTGACAATGACTCACGTGTGACCTGAGGGATGCCCAGCGGCTGGGGAATGTCTGCAGGTGCTGCTGGGCTCTGACTCCTGTGGGAGACTTTGCTAGCTGGGGACTCGGTGCTGGGAGTGGGGAGGAAATTCTCCTTCCTTACCTCGACTAGTGACGAGCGTGGCTCCTGTCTTCTTCTGAGTTGTGTCTCTCCCTGTCTGTCTCCATCTGTTTCTGTCTCTGAGAAGGAGCTGTCGGTCCCTTCCCTGTTCTAATAATAATTATAATACCCCTTGGAAGGAGCTGCAGGGCTCTTATATTGGAGATCTCAAGCCGGCAGATGACGTCAATAATATGGGTGTGTCTGGCCAGGTGACAGGTGTACTGGCTGGAGGGTAGTCTCTTGAATAACACGGTCCTGTCGCCGGGTTACCTAATGACGCGGCGGGGAGAATTCTGGTTCATTGTGACCGCGACCTCTCTTGGGTCAGGTCTTAATCTCACTTTAATTACGAAGGGTGGGTCAACTTACGAGGGTGTACACACCTGCGCTTCCGGTCATTGCTATATGTGCTGTACTTCTCTGGGCTGAAAGCTGTGGTCTGATAAACAATCATTACAGTCTGTCTGTCTGTCCGCGATGTCTAAGCGTTCGTAGCTATCAGGAAGTGGTGTTGTTGGTGTGTATGGGTATAAGAACATAAGAACATAAGAATGGAGGAAACTGCAGCGGGCCTATTGGCCCATACTGGGCAGTCCCGTTTACACCCAACCGCCAATTGCTCATATAAGCATTCAACCTATGTTTGAAGCTATTCAGCGTATTCGAGTTAATGATGATATTTGGTAACTTGTTCCATTCATCCACTACTCTGTTTCCAAACCAGTGTTTACCTATTTCGCGCCTAAATCTAAATTTGTCTAACTTAAAACCATTGTTACGAGTTCGCTCCTGGTTGGATAGTTTGAGTACCTTTGCAATGTCCCCTTTGTTTAGCCCTGCCTTCCACTTATACACCTCTATCAGGTCGCCCCTCGCTCTACGTCTCTTGAGGGAGTGCAAATTAAGATGCTTTAACCTGTCTCTATACTCAAGGTTCCTAATGCCCGGGATTAGTCTTGTCATTCTCCTCTGAATTCTTTCCAAGGATTCTATATCCATTCTGTAATACGGTGACCAGAACTGAACTGCGTAATCCAGGAGTAGTCTCACAAGTGCAAGATACAGTTTTAGGATGACCTCGCTAGTCTTGTAACTAACACTCCTTTGTATGAACCCAAGTACTTTATTAGCCTTGTTATGAGCAAAAACACATTGTTTACTTGGCTTAAGGTTCCTACTTATCATTACTCCTAAATCTCTCTCGCAGTCGGATGTGTCTATGGCATCGTTGTTCATCTGGTTTCCCTGTTTACATCTCCTATACTGAGTGCTTTACATTTGTCGACGTTGAATTTCATCTGCCATTTTTCAGACCATTCGAAAAATTTGTTTAGATCTTCCTGTAGTTTTGCGGAGTCCTCGTCAGATTTATAACACGTCCTATTTTAGTGTCATCAGCAAATTTGCTTATGTTGCTGTCTATGCCGATATCTATATCGTTTATGTATATAATAAATAATAATGGTCCAAGTACTAAGCCTTGGGGAACTCCACTTGTGACGTTGCTCCAATGGGACTTAGTGCCGTTAAGGCTCACTCGCTGTTTCCTGTCCTGTAACCACGCCCTAATCCATTTAAGGATATTACCTTTGATGCCATGTGCTTCTACCTTTCTAATTAGTCTTTCGTGGGGGACTCTGTCGAAGGCTTTACTAAAGTCGAGATATACCACATCATAATTGTGCCCCTCTTCCACCGATTCGAAAACTGATGAAAAGAATGTTAATAGATTAGTTAGACATGAACGCCCGCTTGTGAAGCCATGTTGGGAATCATTGATCAACTTGTGCTTCTCCAGGTGGTTTCGAATAGAGTTTGAAATGATTGATTCTAGTAGTTTGCCTACTAATGTTGTTAGGCTGATTAGGCGGTAGTTAGAGGATAGTGATCTATCCCCCTTCTTGAAAATCAGTATTACATTCGCTATCCTCCAGGATTCTGGTACTACATCTGTTTTTAAGGACATGTTAAACAACTTGCTAAGGGCATACTAAGCTCTTCCTTACATTCCTTTAATACTCTGGCAAATATCTCATCGGGACCAGGTGACTTATTAGGCTTTAGTTTGTCTATTTGCTTACTAACATCGTTACTAGTCACTACTATCTCGCTTAATTTGTTTTCTTCACTATCTCTGAATAGAGTTGGTGCCTCGGGTATTATGTTTAAATTTTCGGTGGTAAAAACCGTTGAAAAATATTTATTAAAATTATTGCTCATTTCTCTGTCGTTGTCAGTGAGCTCGCCGGTATCTGACAGTATTGGTCCAATCTTTTCTCGTGTTTTAGTTTGATACATTTGGTAGAATCCTTTGGGGTTTGTCTTCGCCTCCCTTGCTATCCTTACCTCATTTTTCCTCTTGGCTTTCCTTATCTCGGTTTTAACCCTACCTTATAATAATCCTGGAGGTAAATTTTGCCACGAATTATCCTTCTACCTATAGCCTTCCTTTGGCCAATGATGTTCTTTAAATAATTATTTATCCATTTAGGGTCATTGTTGTCTGATCTGAGTTTTTGTATGGTATGTTCTGCCTTTGTGCATTAAGTAACTCATTATTTAAATTGTCGTGGAACTCGGCAATCTCAGATCTCATTATCAGGTCGGTGTCATCTGTCAAGTTCGCGCCCAAGCGCGACACCCCTTCTCTCAGCTGCCTCTTTAAACTGTCAAAGTTTGCCCTTCTGAAATCTGGTACTTTAGTGGAATTTTCCTTACGTCTGCCATGAAAATCTAGCTGGAATCTAATTTCTTTGTGATTGCTGTTTGCAAGTTCGTTCCCTACCTCGACCTTGCTAATGAGGTTTTCTCTGTTTGACAGAACTAAATCGAGTATATTATTACCCCGGGTGGGATCGGTTATATGTTGACTTATGAAACAGTCCTGGATCGTTTCGAGAAAATCCTCTGATTCTGAGTTACCCGTAAGGTCAGTCCAATCTATTTGGCCAAGGTTAAAGTCGCCTACTATACAGACTTTGTTGTGTATAGATGCCCTGCGCATTTCATCCCAGATAAGTCTCTCATTGACTCTATCAAGATTGGGAGGTTCTTATATTACTCTTGTGATTAATTTTTCCCTACCGTCGATTAAGTCTATCCAAATTGTTTCTGTATTCCGCTCAGTTTTTATTTCCTTATTTATTTCACACTTCAGATTATCCCTGACATAGATTGCTACTCCGCCTCCTTTCCTGGTCTGCCTATCGGTATGGAACAATTTGTAACCCGCAATTTGGTATTCGACCGGTAACTCACGTGAGTCTAGGTTGATCCATGTTTCAGTGAATACTAGTATGTCGATTTTTTCGGTACATACCATGGCCCTTAAATCATCCATTTTGTTTCTCATACTTCTACTGTTTGCATAGTAGACATTTAAGTTAGTCTTGTTGTGAGTCCTCCCTTTACCGCGTTTAGGTTTAAACTCCGTCTAATTTAGTTTTGTCATCATTCCTAACACTATTTCCCTGTAATCTTTCACCTTGTTTACCCACTCCCACTGCAGTCTCCTCCACCCCCGTGCCCGTATGTTCCCCTAGCAGTTTAAAGACTTCGATATCTTTTGAACTGCCCCCTCTAGAGACCCAACCAGGGTTGCCACCCCATCCCGAGACAGGTGTGCCCCATCCCTAGCATGGGTGCCTGCCGTAGAAGTGTCCCAGTTACGATGTGTGGATGGGACTGATAATGACTTGCGTATCCGTCAAGACGACCGTTGACCTCCAACTGCCATGGCAAAACTGTTGCTAACTTTTCCTTCTGGGCAGTACACATATGATAGGGATCCTCATAGACTAATACGATCTATAGCTGCAATGTGAACTTATCAAGAGCTCTTCACTCAAACACCGGCCAATATCGTTTGCCTCCTGCACTAAGGCAGATAATGGATTTGTTCCACATTACCGAATAAGATATTTCCCATCCATCAACTATATCCCCACCCACAGCCCTGGCAAACACACCCTCATCCTATTTTTATTTTACCGCAAAAGTCTGTCCAAGTACCTTAACTGTGAGTCACCAACAATTAAAAGTTTTTATACCTTCCTTGTCAGCCCTGTGTCTGGCTGGCACTAACATCCATTTTCGCTTTATCAAGGGACTGAACGAGTTGGTACACTTAGCTGTTGTTGTCGTTATTTGTATCATGGTGTGTTTCTTGACCACCAGCTTGGTAGTCCCTCTCCTCCCACAACCTTCCATTCGTCATTCTTCCTTCATCTTTGCTATCTCTTCCCTTTAATTTTCAAAGATTTCTTTGTACAATTTCTGGTTTTCTCTTTGAGGTATTCTCTAATTTCAGCCCACAGAAGGGCATAACCCCGCTTACAAGTAGCACTAGCCATATCACAGTAATTATCCCCGGGAGCTGAGCTAAGCTGCCGTGACCTTTCCCCCTATGAGGGTCCAGAACACAATGACGTGGTGTGTCAAGGGGCTAAGCGTGTCAGTCAGGATGTCAAAGTCAGTGTGGATGTTAATGTGGGTGTCAAGAGTATGGATATCATTGGAATAGATGTCAGTGTGGGTGTCAGGTGATGTGGATATCAGTCTGAGTGTCAGGAGTTGTTGATGTCAATTTGGGTGTCAGGACTTGTTGATGTCAATCTGGGTATCAGGAGGTGTGGCTGTCAGTCTGGTTGTCCAGGGGTGTGGATGTTAGCCTGGGTATCAGGATGTGGATGTCAATCTGGGTGTCAGGAGATGTGGATGTCAATCTGGGTGTCAGGAGATGTGGATGTCAGCCTGAGTGACAGGAGTTGTTGTCAGTCTGGGTGTCAGGAGGTGTGGATGTCATCCAGGTGTCAATCAGGAGGTGTATGGGCGCCAGGTCAGTAAGGCGGGGTTTTTACAGTTCTGGTCCTCTCAATAGAACCTTCAGTATTATGATATGTTGCCGCTTGTAACACAGTGCATTTATTATCATTAAAAATTGTGATATAAAATACAGGAAGAAAGAAAGGAATAAACAGAGAAAAAATGAGAAAACAAAGAAATTACAACGAGCGTTAGAGAGACCAAGCGAGCAAGGTTCACATAAGATAGTAAGTGTATGAATCATTGGACTGTCAAGACCCTTCTGTTCGTCTGGCGTAGTTCACACGCGTATCCTTACTCAGTGAAGGATGCCAGCCGCTGGTGATTGCCTCCTATTAATTAGTTTACATTGTTATGTATATATTCTCGGTAGTGAATAACAACATATATAGTGTACCAAGTATTGTAAAGTGTTATATACCAGTACAATTGTAATACATAAATGTACTTTTACTAACACTATATACTGTTATATTCAGGTATATATGTAATATATATACAGTATATTTCCTCATCAACAATAAACGAGACATAAAGATAAACACGACAGACCCACCACTTATAAAACACCGGCAGCACGAGCAATCACCAGCCCCCGATGTTCTCCTAAATCTAGCAATAACGCCCTTATGTCGGCAACACTAACCTTATCCCACCCTCTGCCTGCAGTGGCGTTCGTATACACTGTGTGAGTCTTGATCACTAATACTTCAGTCACGTATAAAGCGAGTCACCTGGTGTCTAGTGCTGGTATATGTCATTAGTGTATGGAACCTGTATAACTATGAAACATTTGACACATATCTGATACATGACCCTCTCTCGTATGACACCCATCTGATACAAACCTATCTTCGTATGACACCTATTAGACACATAACCATTTCATATGATACATCTGATTCATATCACTCTCATATGACACATATCTGATACATAATCCTCTCTTGTATGACACCCATCTGACACCTTTTCATTGTACCAGAGACACACACACACACACACACACACACACAAAAGTAAACCAAAAAGAGAGAGAGAGAGCTATCAGTACACAGGTATCCGTAGTCAAAGTTACAACAGCATCTAAAATAATTGTAAGGCTATCCACTATTCACACACTGACACGCTGTCTAAATTTCCCAGGTAATATTTAACAGTATAAAATGTAGTGTTGGGAGGGAGATATGATGGCTATCCTGGGCTATTGATCACCTGTCATTCTTGTCAACGTCACCCTGGAGTCTGACGAGCAAGGTGAGGCAGGAATGTTCTGAGGCAGGGGGGGTGTTGTGAGGCAGGGGTGTTGTGAGGCAGGGTGTTGTGAGGCGGAGTGTTGTGAGCAGGAGTGTTGTGAGGCAGGGTGTTGTGTGGCAGGGGTGTTGTGAGGCAGGGGTATTGTGAGGCAGGGTGTTGTGAGGCAGGGTGTTATGAGGCAGGGGTGGTGTGAAGGAGAGGTGTTGTGAAGCAGGGGTATTGTGAGGCAGGGGTGTTTGAGACTGAGGTGTTTTGAGGCAGGGGGTGATGTGAGGCAGGGGGTGATGAGGCGGAAGTGTTGTGAGGCGGAGGTGTTGTGAGCGGAAGTGTTGTGAAGCAGGGGTGTTGTGAGGCAGGGGTGTAGTGAGGCAGGGGTGGAGGCAGGGGTGTTGTGGGGCAGGGGGTATTGTGAGGCAGGAATGTTGTGAGGCAGGGGGTAGTGATGGGGCAGGGTGTTGTGAGACAGGGGGTGGTGAGGCAGGAGTCTTGTAAGGCAGGAGGGTGTTGCAAGCGAGGAGAGTTGCGAGACAGGATATTGTGAAGCAGGGGTGTTGTGCGGGAGTACTATGAAGCAGTAGTGTTGTGAGGCTAGATAGATTCATGGATGATAGAGAGTGGTGTACTCTCGACAGGAGCTGCCACACAGGCCAGCCGGCCTGTGCAGACTCCTTATTTCTTTTCTTATGGTCTTAAGTGTTGTGAGGCAGGAATGTTGTGAGGCAGGAGTGCTGTGGTGGGAGTGTGTGTTGTGAGGCAGGGAGTGGTGTTTGGTAGTAGTGTTGTGAGGCAGGGGTGTTGTGAGGCGAGGTGTTGTGAGCAGGAGTGTTGTGAGGCGCAAGTGTTTGTGGCGGAAGTGTTGTGAGGCAGGGGTGTTGTGAAGCAGGAGTGCTGCGAGGCAGGAGGTGTTGTGAGGCGGAAGTGTTGTGAGGCGGAAGTGTTGTGTGAAGCAGGGGTGTTGTGAAGCAGGAGTGCTGTGAGGCGCAGGTGCTGTGAGGCAGGGTGGTGCAGAGGCGGGAGTGTGTGTTGGGTGGTAGTGTGGTGAGGCAGGATTGCTGTGAGGCGGGAGTGTGTGTTGTGGGGCAGGAGTGGTGTTAGGTAGTAGTGGTGTGAGGCAGGAGTGCTGTGAGGGCGGGAGTGCTGTGAGGCAGGAGTGCTGTGAGGCAGGGAGTGTGTTGTGGGCAGGAGTGTGTGTTGTGAGGCAGGAGGTGGTGTGAGGCAGGAATGTTGTGAGACAGGAGTGTGTTGTGAGGCAGGAGTGGTGTGTGAGGCAGGAGTGTTGTGAGGCAGGGTACTGTGAGGCGGGAGTGTGTGTGTTGTGAGGCAAGAGATCTGTGGGGGCCGGGAGTGCTGTGAGGCAGGGGTGCTGTGGGCAGGGAGTGCTGTGGAGGCAGGGGTGTGTGTGTTGTGAGGCAGAGGGTGGTGAGAGGCAGGAATGTTGTGAGACAGGAGGGTGTGTGTTGTGAGGCAGGAGTGGTGTGGGCAGGAGTTGTGAGGCAGGGGTGTTGTGAGGCAGGAGTGTGTGTTGTGAGGCAGGAGTGTGTGTTGTGAGGCAGGGGTGCTGTGAGGCAAGAGATCTGTGAGGCAGGGGTGTGGAGGCAGAGGTGGGAGGCAGGAGTGCTGTGGAGGCGGGAGTGCTGTGAGGCAGGGTGCTGTGAGGCGGGAGTGCGGAGGCGGGAGTGCTGTGAGGCAGGGAGTGCTGTGAGGGCAGAGGTGCTGTGAGGCGGGAGTGCTGTGAGGCAGGAGTGCTGTGGGGGCAGGAGTGCTGTGAGGCAGGAGTGTTGTGAGTCAGGGTGTGTGTTGTGAGGCAGGAGTGCTGTGAGGCAGGGTGTTGTAGTCAGGAGTGTGTGTTGTGAGGCAAGAGATCTGTGAGGCGGGAGTGCAGGGGGCAGGAGTGCTGTGAGGCAGGAGTGCTGTGAGGCGGGGTGCTGTGAGGCGGAGTGTGTTGTGAGGCAGGGATCTGTGAGGCAGGTGCTGTGGGGCAGGGAGTGCTGTGAGGCGGGAGTGCTGTGGGCAGGGGGGTGCTGTGAGGCGGGGTGCTGGGGCAGGGAGTGCTGTGGGGCAGGGAGTGCTGTGAGGCAGGAGGTGCTGTGGGGGAGTGTGTGAGGCAGGAGTGCTGTGGGGCAGTGCTGTGAGGCAGGAGTGTGTGTTGTGAGGCAGGGGTGTGTGTGGGGGCAGAGGCAGGAGTGCTGTGAGGCAGGAGTGCTGTGAGGCAGGAGTGCTGTGAGGCAGGAGTGCTGTGGGCAGGAGTGTGTGTTGTGAGGCAGGAGATCTGTGAGGCAGGAGTGCTGTGAGGCAGGAGTGTTGTGGAGGCAGGGGTGTGTGTTGTGAGGCAGGAGATCTGTGAGGCAGGAGTGCGTGGGGGCAGGAGTGCTGTGGGCAGGAGTGCTGTGTGAGGCGGGAGTGTGTTGTGAGGCGCAGGAAGTCTGTGAGGGCGCAGGTGCTATGAGGCCAGGGGTGTGTGTTGTGAGGCAGGAGTGTGTGTTGTGAGGCAGGGAGTCTGTGAGGCGGGAGTGCTGTGAGGCAGGGTGTTGTGAGGCAGAGGAGTGTTGTGAGGCAGAGGTGGAGTCAGGAGTGTTGTGAGTCAGGGAGTGTTGTGAGTCAGGAGTGTTGTGGTCAGGAGTGTTAGTCAGGAGTTGCAGCAGGGTGTTGTGAGGCAGGAGTGCTATAAGGCAGGAGTGTTGTGAGTCGGGAGAGATGCGAGTCAGGAGTGTTGCGAGTCAGGAGTGTTGTGAGTCGGGAGAGATGCGAGTCAGGAGTGTTGCGAGTCAGGAGTGTTGCGAGGCAGGGTGTGTTGAGGAAACATTATTATGGTGAGGCAACGGTCGTATGTCTGATAAAGCAATACGTGTTTTGTTAAGCAACAGGAGTGTGGTTGGAAAGACGCCAACCTGACATAATTGTTTTTCAAGAATTAATTGGTGTAACTAGTAATGCGTTTAATATGACAGGAAAAATATTGATCACGGGAAATTAGTTATGTTTTTTGTCTTTATATCCCATTAGAGATTGGTGGCGGCGATTGTTAAGGGGTCATGATAGTATTGATGGTAATAATGGTGTTGGTGGTGCTGAAATACTCCTACACTCACATTCACAACCACAATAGTTGAGGACCTCATGTTGACCTAAAACTGGAGGTTAGGGAACACTTCTATATCATCGTTCACAGCCACAACAGTTCAGTATATACACCTGATCGTTCACAACCACAACAGTTCATACACCTGATCGTTCCTAACCACAACAGTTCATACACCTGAT